TGAGCCATAACCTTTGCCTGTCGACTGAGTGCGGCCTTCTTCTTGCGCTCGCGTTCCTCCTCTGCAGAGTTGTTGGCAGGGGATGCAGTATCAATGCGGTCAACCGATACACCCAATCGGACATATGCGTTCTCAAAATTGCGTGGACGCTTCTGTCGCATCCTCTTCAGGATGAGAGCGATCTTGGGGTGGCACGCCTTGAACTCTTCCTTGGTAGACATCATGTCCAGCAACGCGACGATGGTCTTTGCATTAGGCGCTTCTTGCATGAAGTTGCTTCGAGCTGTGCGTGTCAAGGAGATAAAGACAAATGAGTTGAGCGACTCCTCCGTCATGTCGCTCTCGTCCGCCTTGTCCTCGGAAATCGCAATGAGAATCAGGTGAAGAACAACCTGAAGGAAAGTCTCAGTGCGAGTGGATGGCACGCTTGGCGTGAGTCTGGCGGCGACCAGCGGGTAGAGCAAGGAGTAGTAGATGACCTGGGCAAACATGCCGGTACTAGTGAACGTAGCCAGGTCCTTGAACAGTCCTGAGGGAATAGATCGAAGTTTGGGCTCGTACACAATCTCTTCGACCGGCTTCCCAGTCTTGATGGCCATCTTCTTGCGATAAGCTAGCTCGGACTCCTCACGCTGGTTTTTGTTGTAGTGGGCAATGTAAGGATCAATATGCTCAACGAATTCGGGTCGTAGCTCAAAAGTGCCTACGTCGGAGACACCCTCTGGAGGCTTGAACGAAGCCATTTCATCAAGCACACGGTGGAAATCCTCTTGCTCCTGCCACTTCTCGGGCAGCTTGTTGCTGATTTCGTTGAACGAAAGGGGCTTGAAGCATAGGATATGAGTGAGGTCGCGGCGGATGGCGAGGACATTGGCGTTGGGCTCATCCTCGGAGGCAATCAATGATGTGCGATCACTCAGCAACACAATCAGGAGGTGAATCATGTCTTCAACCACGTCCAAATGCTGCGCATCGTCTTGCGCTGCCGACTTTTGCTCAAAAAAGCCCTTGACCCATTTCTCCATGCCGAATCGATCAATGATGGATGCGAGGACGCGGCTTGGATCAGCCGTGACCATGGCAGTCTGAAGCAAGAAGATGTCTCGGTGGTGAGAGACATCTCTTTGGCTGACTCCACGATATGTCGCCGCCTGGTGACGCAGACTAATGCCATTGCGAACCCACATGTTCGCTTTGATCTGCGCCAACCAAGCGCAAACCCGCAAGGGGTAGTCGAATGCAGCCATGAGGTTGTCTTCCGGTGAGTTATCCCTTCTTGGCATAACCTTGCGGCCCATGGAGCGGGGAGGAACCCTCAAGTCTTGCGTTGTGAAGCTCAGCAGGGCTCGCATGCTTGAGGCAGGGAGAGACTTTCCGCACTCCACCAACCACGAGAGCGTATAGTGGAGGGCGTGGTGGAAGCTGATGGGGTCCTCCTCGACGGTGAACTTGACCACTTCGTATCGTGCCGACTCATTGTCAAACTCGAAATCACCCAGAGTCTTGAACTTGACCTCTTCCTTGATCTCGGCCTGCTTAAATCGATGGCGTTCGGCACCAATAGAGTGAAGAATCACAGCCTTTGCTGTCAATCTGATGGCTTGGGCGACAAAGTGTGCCTCGTTATCCGGCACATTCCTGTACGCGTCGGCAAGTTGTCGAGCAAGTCTGTTGATTTCGCGTGTCACTAGAGAAGCCGTTATCCAGCTATCCGTCTCGTATTCGACGTGCTCCCCAATGGCGCGGACATTCGGCCCAATGCCTTGGTGTAGCTTGACGAGATCCAAGAACTGCAAGAGGTATCTCTCCTCGGTGCGTAGCTTCTCCTGGACGTTTGGCGAGCCGAAAAGATACTTCAAGTCTAGATAGAAGTGGTACATACGCCGATTCGTCACTGAACCAGAGTCGAAGGCGAGGACAGCATTGGACGAGACATCCCATGGGTAGCCTACTTGTCTAGTGGTGAGGAAGGTATAGAAGATGGCGAGCAAGCTCGTCATGAAATTGCCGCGCTCGACAATCTCTGCAGTGATCGACGGTGTCGTGAGCATCTGTAGAGACAAGTTTATGATGGAGTGATCCGGCTCTCTGTCTCCAATCAAGTAGAGTTGAGCCAGCGTTGTGTATAATCCTGCAAATCGCAGTCCCAAGATGCGCTTGAATTCGGGTATCGAAACAACAGTTGAGATGTAGAGAGATCGAAGGTCGTTGCGTACCTTCTTCCACATGCGAAGATCGAATAGAATGAGCCAGTCTAGACGAACCCTTTGGAAGACATCCTCCGCCGGGGGAACATTCTCACGGTTCATGTAACCAGGAGGAGTCTCGAGCCAATACCTACCTGGCTTCGGTGAGGGCGCCTTCTCTCCCTGGCCAGGAGTTTTGGGAATTTCCAAGTTAGCCTTGGCGTATATTGCAGGTGCAATCAGGGGCTCAGCAGTGTCGGAGTCTGAAGGCGTCAAATCGCGGTCTCTGGCAGACCGGCGTGCAGCTGCGGGTGGAGGCGGAGGAGGCGGATAACCGGCCATGGTAGCTTCATCTTCTTCCAGAGCTTGATCGTTGCCACGCCACTCGAGGCCAATATCCCCAGGTCCATCAGGCTGGATATCCACCATCATAATATCGTCCATATCATCATCGTCGTCATCGTCGCCCGCGTCACTATCCGGAGTGCCGTTGCCCCTGCCCATGTCGATGTCATCATCATCACTGTCGCCAAGAGCTCTTGTTTGCTGTTGAGCAGCAATACGCTGCATCTGCAGTAAGACGTGCTGTGTGAAAGACTGAGACTGTTCGAGATTTCTCAAGAACCTCTCTTCGTCGTAGATGCCATCCTTCCCCACAATAGCATGGCTTCCAGGACTGCCCTTCCTCCAAGGCTTCATCATCTCCTGGCAGACGGTGTTTCGCAGAATGGTATGGTCTGATCCGACACTACATCCTGAGATGTCGCTGAGCCACTCGATCATGGCCCCACACATCTGCTCACGGAATGTGTCGCGCGATGACCTGATGGTGACGGTAACCTTGATATGCTCCAACTTAGTGGCCATCTCAAGAAGAGCGTCAAGGTCGTCGAGCCGCTTCAGAATGCTGCGCCCGACGAGGTCCGTCTCAGTAGCGCGTTCGAGAGCCTGAGCCTCCGTTGTTCTACAGGCCCGCGCGATCTGATTCTGGACATCCTCCACCGTGTGCTTCTCGTCGTTCCAGAGGACCAGTGCGTACTCGGGGTGCCCCGAAGGACCTTCGCCGTAGATGCTTGGAGACAGGCGCGAAAGCTCCTCGTCGGCTTGGATAGAGTCGGCCGTCTTGCCCTGCCGCAGCTGCTCTGGTGAGCATGATATGACGTCGCAGATATAGTCAAAGACACGGCCAATCGTCATCTGCATGTTCTGCACCAGGTCCTCGGGAAGACCGGCCGGTTCCTTTCCCTTTCCCTCGCCCTTCTCCGGACTCGTCTCGGAGTGAATCGTACAGAACATGGGGAGGCGCCATGCCTCATCATCGCCACAGTCACAACATCCACTGTTGCCGACAGAAATGCTGATGCGAACCATGTGCCCGGCGTGATCGGTCGAGTCGAAGCATCGGCTGCAAAGGACGCAAGTGTCATCGGTGCTGCAGGTCCTACAGGAGTATGAGGCTTCTCCGGGCTTGAAGATGTGGCCGCATCGCTTGCCGCGGGCGGCTTCGGTGTATTCAGCGCCTTCCTCTGCGCCCTGAGCATCGTGGAGCTTGAGGTTGTGCGAAGGACGTCCAGAGGGAAAGAAGAGGGGCATGTATCGTTCGCCTCCTGCCAAAGACCAGAATAGACTTTCCAACAGGTCGTGGTGCGCTTGATCGTCGTACTCGTAGTTCCATCTTGCGGGAAGCTCTCGGAGAAACTCACAGAGCTGGCGCTCTTGAGTTGACATTGGGGTTTCCATTATAAGTGATTGGTCATGGCTCCCTTTCTCAGGTTTCGTTGTAGGAAAGAGTCGAATTCCCGGGAGGGAGAAGGGCTGTTCGTGCAAATAGGGCGTGTATGAGGGTGGTTGTTGTTTCTGGAGCCCGGTGATGTGCGATATTGCGTATCGGTAGAGCTCTGGCGGGGTCTTTTTGGCAAATAGTGGCGGGTCGCTTGTACGCGGTGAGTAATCTGAGGTGGGCTGGAGGACGGAAAATGGTAAGCGCCTGGAAGGCCTCTTGGATTCAAGAAGCAACTAAACTTAAGAGACTGCAGGAGATGCTTACTGGCGAAGGGAATCCAAGAGGGATCTTCACAGGCAATAGCGGTGACGTTTCTCTCTCAAAGGAAAAAGAAAAAGGCGGCAGTGAATGTGTTGTTAAAAGGTGGTTGACACTACGAGTCCCGGCAGAGTACAAGCACAGGTACACTCGGGCGGGAGCTGGGAGGTGCTGGCGCGTTTGGTGGGGTTGGGTTAGATCAGCGGGAGACTACGTTTGAGCTGGAGAAGGTGAAGAGGTGGTAGGGGCATGGGTATCTCCCGTTTGGGCGAACACAGTGACCGGGTCTCTGTTTGGCAGCACATGTCACTATTCACTATGACATTGTGCCTAAGTACTTTGGGGGAGTTTCAGTACGCTAGCATGTTAGGTATCTCAGGTAGGCACGGAGAAGATAGCCCAACTGCATGTGCTTGTTTCCATTCCATTGCTTTGACCCCGCCAGAATATCTCAAAGACATGAATCTCACCGTTTGTTTCGTCCAAGAATCTGGATCCATTGAATACCTCGCAAGGACAGAAAGAAGCATTGCATTCAGAAAGTGTGAGGCCAGAGCCAAGTATCATGTTTCAGTCTGACATTCATACATGTTGAAAGAGTCTTGGGAAGGAAAACTTTGACTTCTTTTAATATTCGTCAACTCAGGATCAAATACACGATTTCGCTATTGATATCAGACAGCTAGAGGCATTTCCTACCATTTCGCTTGTCCTTTATTATTGAGCTCGCACCAACATCACCAAAAAAAACATGATCCACCTTTCCCTAATGTCTATGCCACTCCAAAGATGAGATAGAATGTCACAGCGCCCTCAACTTCTCCAAGTTCTGCTTCCCCGTCACTGTCACCAAGCCAGCCGCACAAATTCTTTGCAGCTTCGAGTAATCGCAATAAGTCCGACCTGTCGGGAGGGTAACTGCGCCTGCTGCGATTACTGCACTCCACGACCGCTTCCGCCCATTCTAGCAGCTGCGCCATGGTTGTCGCTGCTTCCCGCTGCTTCCCCCCACCCATGAATTCATTTAGTGCGTCTACGTTGGCTTGTTCCCAGAGATGATTGCAAATCCGGCCGGTGCTCTTCAGAAGCGATTCATTCGAGACCGAGTCGCTGGCGGTGGAAGACGCTGAAGACGAAGAATAATGGTGCGAATCTCGTTCAACGGGTCGATCGTAGGGACCGGGGCGACGACTGCCTCCACGAAACCTTCTCAAGCAACCCCCCCTTGAATTGCCTCTGCGCTCTTCTCTGCGTTCTCTTCTGCGATCGTTTCTGGCTTGCCTGCGTCGTCGTTCGTGATACTTCTGGCTAGCTCGTAGACAAATGTCCTGAACCGAGCGAATCCTCATTGCTAGAGCATACCTCTCCTTATGAGATTGGTGTCGTGTAAGAAACCGCAAGAAGCCGTCATCTAACGCGCCAAAATCCGCCACGGATATGTCCATGTCATTTCGGTGCGGAATTTGCACAGTTAATGGCGCAAGTGGCATGCCGTGGATAGTGCGTCCAGCCAGAGCGCGTCGTTCAAGGAGAGAACCGGCGTGGAGTTGTGAATCAAAGTGAGGTGGCATAGGCGAAGCTTGTACAGTCATTGAGTTCACACAGGGCGCCGAATTCTGATCCTTTGGTCTGAACGCAAGATTGTAGATGAATGTGCTGGGTGAGCGCTGAGGCTCGGGTTCTCTGCCGTACTGCTCCATGTTGAATGTTGATTATCAACGCCACTTGGAAGGTCAACCTGAGTTAGAGGATCTTACAAGCCGTATTTGTATAGAACCGGACGTCGAGCGACCGAGGCCTCTTGATCAATGTTCTCGGAAAGAACTGTCGAGAACGTGTCACTAGGTGCTAGCATGTCAGCTCACAATATGGAGGTGAGTATCTGAAACATCGTGGTATTGCCATTGAAAGCTTGCTATGAAAGGTTGTCTAAGTGCTCCAAATGACGATTCTCCCGTCGACACCGCTGGCTTCATCTCTAGTTAGCATTCGACACCAGTGAACAAAGGGATTCGAAAACTTACAGGTAAACTTTGTCAAGTTACCGCCAGACTCTTCATAGGAACGCAGTGTGGTGACAGTGTTCTGATGTACCGTCTTGAGCTTGGTATCGTCCGTAGCCTTGCCCTTGAGATCCATCTGCCTGAACATGTTGAGCGCAGACTCTTCGCGGGCGTCGCTAAGCCCGGGTCGGCCCTTTGACTCGAGAGTACCAGCAAGGCTCCAGCCGCCTTCGCCGCCCTTGAAGCGGAAGGCTTCACAGTCGTAGCCTGCGGCAATGATCTCATCCTCTGAGCTCCACAGAAGGCTCATGAAGGGAAGCAACTGGGTGGTGATGGTGACAACGGCGCGGGGAGGCTGTTCAGGGGCACTGGGGTATACGACAGTAATGCTGCTATCGTGAGCAGCAAACGCCAGGGCATTTCCGCTCGGCGAAAAGGAGACAGAGTGAACCCAGCCGGCAGAGTTGTTCAAGTATTCTCCGCAGACGGTGTTGAACGGCAATCTTTCACCCCAAGCGGTCGGCTCGGGGCGGGCGTCGACACCCTTGATGAAACTGGACAGAACTCTGGCGTGGGCGTCGGTAGATCCGGCAGCAAGCAGAACGGAGTTTGGGTGCCATGCGACGGATGTGATGGTGCTGCGAATGGGCTTCTTCAGGTGCTTCGACACCCACCAGTCGTTCTCCTCCTCAAAGTAGCAGACGGCAATCACGCGGTCGCCCGATCCGACGGCGAACTTGGTCTCGGAGGGGGACCATCGCACAAAGGTCGCGGCGCGGCTGATTCGGAGGAGGACAAGTGTGGGCTTGTATCCGGTCGGCGAGGGCTCCCAGACAAGAGCATTTCTGTCTATCGCGGGAGGTCAGTTGCTATTCTCGACTCGGAGACAGGACAGAATTAGCGCGCATTGACATACCTTGAGAGCAGGAGACAATGCGGCCGCTGTTGGGAGCAATGTCGACACTCGTGACGGTCTTGTCGTGTCCTTTGAGCTCATCCTTGAGCTTGAAAGAGTTTCCAGTAGGTCCGTAGAGCTCAATGGTAGAATCGCGAGCGATAGCGAGCGTCTGGCGGTCGGCAGAGAAGGAGTGGTCCGCGATGGGCGCGTGGAAGAGGTGGTGAACCTGAGGGGCCGCCATGATGAACGATTGCTTCGTGATAGGAGTATAGCTCTCTACTACCACGATCTAGAATGAGTCGGAGGTTGTTGAGGGAGTGTGGAAAGAGCAGAGTTGGCGATGTTGGCAGATGAAGTGATCGCTTGAGGCAGTGCTAGTTGATGCTGGCTGGCCTCCGTCCAAGCAAGGCAATGTATCTCCCCCAGGCTCTACATACATACGTAAGGTGCATGCATTGCATACACTACAACGTACCGTCTGGGAGGTGCACATTGGTGGGGCAGAGAGGGGCGTTACGTAGGTAGGTTAGGTAGGTCTTCCGACAGGGCAACATGGCATTCGCACCATTCTGTTTCGTGCACAGCTCTGAACCTAAGGCCACACCCCGGCGTCCATGGGATCGATTGGCGGCGCTAGCAGTGAAGCTCCGAAGGCTACTCGACTAACTACAGTGCGGTGGCCGGACGTTCATCACAAAAAATCGGTACCGCGACGATTCAACGAGGACGAATATCGCTACGCGCCACCTCGAGACCATACCCACACCGAACACACACTGTCGAGCAATTGACGATTTCCGCAAAGGCCTCATATCATCTCACACTTCCGTTCATCATACTGCACAATGGCAGCGGTCGCCCCTCCCCGTGGCCTCGCGCCAAACGCATCACTACCCGCCAAAGTTGCAACTGTTGCTCCGAACCAGACGTAAGTCAGAAACCCAGGAAACAAGAGGCAATCGCTAATGATTGTAGGCTATATGTCACAAATCTCCCGTCGAACAAGATACAAAAAGCCGACTTGCGAACCGAACTTTACTTGCTGTTCTCCACATACGGCCCCGTTCTCGACATCGTCGCCATGAAGACCATGAAGATGCGAGGGCAAGCCCACATCACCTTCCGCGATATCCAGACAGCGACCCAGGCCATGCGCTCCCTTGAAGGCTTTGAGTTCCTCGGTCGGCCCCTGGTATGCGACCTTGAGAGTAGAGGATCATAAGGGATTTCGCTGACGAGACCGTGAACAGAACGTCCAGTACGCAAAGTCCAAGTCCGACTTCGTCGCCAAATTAGACGGCACATACAAGATGCCAAACTCGACAGCAGGAGCTTCCAGCACCGAAGTGACGGATCTTCAGAAGAGCATCTTCAACGCTCCCGCACCTGGTGCCGCATCAGCGGCGGCCACGGGGGCCACCACGACGAAGCCGGCAGCCGGTGATGATCAAACCATGGCTGACGCGCAGACGGCTGATGCAAGAGGCCAGAAGCGGACCAGAGACGAGGAAGAAGACGAGGACAGCGATGTTGCCATGGAAGAGGACAGCGACGACGATTGAGGATTTCAGCCTTGCATTTCAGTTCAAACAGGGTGAGAGAAGGCAGGAAGTCCCGGCGGCGGTGAGCTTCAGCTGGTTGGATCCAGGGCCATCTCTTTGGGCACCCAGAGCCCGACGCATCCGCCAACCAGGCCGAGCCATAGCATCATGTACTGCTCCTTGGAACAGTTGAAACCCGACATGGCGTCACCGAGGAGGCATGGATGGATGAAGAATGACGGTAATCCCGTGAGAGGGTGGTGCTGCGACCTCGATTGTTAGTACAGACCTACAGACGGTCTCTTTCAGAAGATTTAATTGACTGGTCCGCAGCTGATGCACACTTACGTCGCCGGAGATCCCTCCAATTCCGCTAGACCGTCGGAGAGCATCCTTGAACTGATCGGGCACCAGTCTTCGAAAGACAGTGTCAAGGTTGAATGCAGGCTCGTCGGCTGGCAGTCCGTGTAATGTGAACCACAGGCAAGGCATCCGATATGTGGGATGCCAGTGCACTTCGTAGACGACGTGACCGGAATCAGGAACGTGTGACCTGGAGAGCGCAGCCTGCCGTATGTGAGTGAACATAAGCAGCGTGTCGTATAAGAAGAGCCTGGAACATTACCTCGTCGGATTCTTCAGCATCAATCATGGCCTCATCACCCAGTCCCAGAGCATCCTTTTCCGAAGCACCATCGCCAAATGAAAAATGATCCAGAACGGATGAGAGATCGCCGCAGTCCAAAGTAGCCTCGAGTGGCCGGATGATTTGCAAATAAGTAGTGTATTCAACGCCCGAGGCGAATGATGTATCAAGTGCCGTGCATACCCTCATTTTCCAACGCCGTCGCATCGGGCCCAAGGTAGCACGGCAATACTGGCTATCGAAATGATGGCATATTTCGGAAAACTCCTCAGGAGTCAAAAATGGGAAGTCCTTAAACGTCATTTTTAACGTAGACAATGTGTGCCCTCCAGAGTTGGATTTGTGTTTTCCTTGTTCATGTGAAATAGGTCCAAATATCCCTGAGAACTCGACTGATGAGGATGCAACGTCGACTGTAGGGGAATGATCAGTCGTGGCACTGGAGGGCAGACGCGACTCTCCGTTGGCTCACACGTATAATGTGAACATAGACCGAGTCGATTTCAGGGGTCTCGATGCGGCAGACGTCTATTTTCCCGGGCCGTATCCCTCTTGAAGTTGAAATGCTCGGATGCAGGCCATCGACTGTACGACGAGTTGGGTGTCGGTTGTGCCCTTGAGAGCCCCACTGGCCTCAAGGTACGGATACCCAATCTTTAAGTCGGCTACTTCGTTCCGGTACGTATCTAATAGTAGTAGCACTTTGCAACTTGAATGGGAGACCGTCCATGCCTGAAACTCTTTCTTCGTCACTTTGTCTGTATATCAAAGGCTCCTACCTTAGATTGAGCCCTTCTGTCCTGCCTACCTGCTGGTGACAGTGAAAGATGGCCAACACGATAGTTCCGGTGCCAATTTGCCAGTGACACTGCCTCTTGGGAATTCCATCTGTCCCAGCGTCGGAAGGATCGGCATGTACTCCGTATTTGTCCCGGCGAGAAAAAACTACAGGGCAGGCTCCAAGCCGGCCGTGGCTGAGTGCTATCCGAGGTAAGGGTACCTATTTGACGGCAGAAGGCTACTCGCTACGGGCGTACACACGGAGAGAACCGCTTCCACTACAGCTATGCTGCTGCCATTGCCAACCTGTGGGTCTCCTGCAGACCTGTGACCAGCTTGCCAGCCTACCAGAGTGCACCCAAAAAACAGAAAACACAACCACACTCATCTCTTCTCTCCTTTTCCCCACACACCTCATCGAACACCCGTCACGATGCTCTCGAGAAGACTTGTCGCGACTGCGCGCTCCGTGCCGCTGCGCCGGTACCAGCCGCGTTCGCTGCCGCTGCAGCTTCCCCAGATGATGCAGCACGTCCGCAGCTATGCCGACAAAATCGTCCAAGTGCCGCAGATGGCTGAGTCCATTTCCGAAGGTACCCTGAAGCAGTGGTCGAAGCAGGTCGGCGACTTTGTAGAGCAGGATGAGGAGATTGCCACCATCGAGACTGACAAGGTAGCTTTGTTCATCTGGTGTCTCTGGGGAAAACATGACGTTCCTATTGCTGACCGCAGTTCTTTCTCTTGTTGCACAGATCGATGTTGCTGTTAACGCTCCCGAGGCCGGTACGATCAAGGAATTTTTGGTCAACGAGGAGGACACCGTCACTGTCGG